TTTTGAACTGTGGCTTTTATTGCTTTGCATGTCCAGGAATTCTCGACACAGAGATTCCTATCGTCTTGTAAGCTGAACTTTTTCTTGAGATGGGTGTGGGAATATGTGCGTTGTAAAATCGGCAAAAAGCATAATCTTCTTCAGATAGTTAAGGTTGCCAGTTATGGAGTAGTGGCTGCCAGTGCCCTTACTGTTCTCTACTTTTGCAAACCCATTCGTAATTCATAAGCTAAGACTTCTTATGCCCCCTTCACATATCTTTTACTATTTACATTTTTCGCGCTGTCAATTAGGTCAAATTTTGTTTTACTTTGAACTGGCATCACTAATTTCTAATCATGGATTGGCGTGTGTATTTTGCTCACAGGGTATTCTTTCATTAGTTTTGATTTTATGTGTTTATCCCAAAAATGAATTGTGTTAAACTCTCATAAACCATGGCATGTGTTTGGGTGATGCAAAACATGAAAATTGCTTAAAGTTTCCCCAATTTCTCTCTACTTTTAACTCTTTCTTTGCAATAACCACTTTGTGCAGCTCTTCACATCACATACACAGAAAAGCACACACCAGTCTTGTTTTCTTTATGACTTATGACTTCCCATGTGACAATACATTGATACTCTAGGCCTTATATTATTGTCATTCACATGAAATCCACCCAACAATTTGCCATAGAAATCATCTCCATGCTTGTACACAAACTCCCGATGTGCATCCGAAAGGAAATCAGAGATGGAAAGTACCAAGTCGCCACAACCATAGTCTTTTGCTTGTCGATTGCATTGCTCGTCTTAGTCCTAGGTACGGTCATCAATGACCACTTCAAGAAATTCGTGTTATACGAAGACCTAACCTTGTCGTCACTCAATGCTTTTCCTCCACTCTTGTCGACCCTTCCACCTTCACCAAACCATGCGTGTACACAACTATATAGTAATCATAGCTCAAATGCGACACGAAGTTTTATGGAGTTGATTTCGCCTAGCCATCTTTGGCACTCTATGAGCGATGAAGAATTGATGTGGAGGGCCTCGATGACTCCTCGTGTAACTGATTACCCTTTCAATCGCACACCAAAAGTTGCTTTCATGTTCTTAACGAGGGAAAGATTGCCATTGGCCCCACTATGGGAGATGTTCTTCAGAGGGCACGAAGGTCTATTTACTATCTACCTCCATACCTTGCCGCAATTTGACAATGAGCCCGACAAGGCATCAGTTTTCTACAAGCGTAGAATACCTAGCAAGGTACATTTTCTAATACACACATATAAAACACAACTTTTTTCGTTTATCAATCAAAGTTGTAAACTATGTTTCATGAGTTTGATAAAGTTCAATATTGTTTCGATAGTTGGTTCAATGGGGGAAGTCAACCATGATCGACGCCGAGAGACGACTCCTAGCGAACGCACTACTCGACTTCACAAACGAAAGATTCGTGCTCCTATCAGAAACATGCATTCCCTTGTTCAACTTACCCACAATCTATAACTATCTTATAAACTCCGACCAAAGCTTTCTTAGCACCTTCGATGACCCAAGGCGCATGGGTCGGGGCCGATACAACAAGCATATGGGGCCCACAATTAAATTGTCCGATTGGCGAAAGGGATCTCAATGGTTTGAAGCCAATAGGGAGCTTGCCCTAACGATAGTATCGGACGTGACGTACTACTCCGTATTTAGAAACCATTGCGTGCCACCTTGTTATATGGATGAGCACTATTTGCCAACCCTAGTCACCAAAATCTGCCCTAACTTGACCTCAACTAGGACCATAACTTGGACTGATTGGTCCGGAGGCGGCTCACATCCTAGGATGTTTAGGAGAGGTGACGTCACACAAGGGTTTTTGGATAGCATTAGAAATGGGTCCAATTGTACTTATAATGGTGAGATGAGCACAATTTGCCATCTCTTTGGAAGAAAGTTCCATCCTAGTACTTTACAACCCTTGCTTAAGATAGCCCCAAAATTATTTGGTCTCAACATGTAGAAAGTGTTCCATGAATATTGGAATATTTTGTCGGTTTTTTATGTTACTCAATGCGCAAGAAAAAATAATATTTGTTATTACCATAAAGCCAAGAACTGTTCACCTTGATTTAAAAAAAAAAAAATTAAATTAAATTAAATCCACTTCCACACACTCTA